TAAGAGTATTGAACCTGATCCTGTTCCTCGCAGAACAGTCAAGGTTCAGACAAGGTGAGGACCAGTTGCCTAGTTATCCAACTGCTCAATTTTTCAAATATACATACAAAAGCTTAGTTTTCAAACTAACATTTCAGAGAAATGGGAAACATACTGTGTCTCCAACAAAGGCTGTTCTGTGATTAATACAGAGCAGCAATGCAGTGACTGCAGAGACAACTCCCTTGAGCCTCATATGGAGATTCAAAAGCTAGAAGAGCACTATAATGGAAGAAAGTAAGAGTCCTGCTGCCTGCCAAATGTGATACCAGATCACAGACCATGCTAAGTTACAGCTAATGGGAGCCAGAATTCAACAAATGGAGGTCCAGGTGTTTCATGTATCAGGATTTGCCTAAAGTGCTGGGATATAATGGAGATGAGAGGGAGCCGTCCACTTAGTCCCCCACCCCCTGGCTCTTCCTATAATCACCCTACCACTCTGAGAACATGCTGTCTTGTCTCCTATTTGAAATTAAGCAGAGTCAGCCCTTATTCGCTACTACTGAATGGGAAACAACCAGGGAATATCAGGTAAGGGTTGAAACCTTGCTTGAACCCTGAAAAGCAGGAACCAGTCAGGGTTGGCAACACTGGGTAAGACCAAGAGCCTGACTCAGTAGTGGCAGCTTCTTATGTTCGTTCAAGAAGCCCTGTTTGCAAATGCAATGTACTGAACGTTAGATGAAAGGTTATTACACAAAACAACAGTGTTTCTGCCCATCTGACTTTCTGTCCAGTGTTTATGGCAGGAAAGTGATGAAAATCAGTTTCTACAGGGGGTAGCTGTGTTAGTCTGTCATGGCAAGAACAATACCAATAACTGATGAAGTAAGCTGTAGCCCATGAAAGCCTGCTTCATGCACTGATGACAGACAATACAGTCCATATCTTTACACGATCATGGCTCCACCAACACAAAGATGTGTATGACTTTAAAAGAACTTAGCATTTATATTTCTTGAGTCTGAAAGAAATTGATTTTGAACCACAAAAGCTCACACGAAAAATATATCTGTTGGTCTTTAATGTGTTGCAGTATTTTGTTCTTTTTTTCTCCTTTTCTCCCATTCCCCCCCCCCGGGTAACTTTACTTTTTAAAATGCCATGAGATCTTAACCAAATCTCTCTTGCTGGCTGAGTAAAGAAACAAACAGGAGAACTGACTTCAGCATTTAAACCAATTAATCCTATAGGAAATTGTGACAAAAATTATAAACCCTACTTGGGCATGCTTTTAGAAGCACAGTGATGTTTGGGAAGCTGGTTCCTCAGAGAATCAACAAGTGCAGTAGCATAATCATAAACTGAGGGTTACTACTTAACCACGTGAGAGACATCTTCATTTTAAATAGAAATTACTAGCTGTCCTGGTTTAAATTCATAGTTTACTCCACATTTATTTATTTATTTATTTATTCATTGATTTGATTTATACCCCACCCCCCTAGACAGCGTCTACTCGGGGCGGCTTACAAAATCATAAAATATCATTATGAGGTATGTACAGTGGACCGTCTACTTAAGGAATTAATCCGTATTGGAATGGTGGCTGAAAGTCGAAAAGTCTGTAGGTCGAATCTCCATTGACCTACAATGCATTGAAAACCGATCAATCCCATAACCAGCGGTTTTTATTCTATTTTTGTCCCATTTTGGGTTTTTTCTGGTCTGTAAGTCGGTTCTCCGGCTGCGAGTCGAATCTAAATTTTGCAGCCAGAGAAGTCTGTAACTCGAAAAGTCTGTAAGTCGAGCCGTCTGTAAGTCGAGGGTCCACTGTAATAGAGATACTTTGCTTTGCACTTACCCTTGGCCATTCTTCTCAAGAAAGTTTTTCAGACAATCTGCAAGTACTAACATGCCTACCTATTTTTTCCAGGCACCAATCAGTAATTGAATAATGGTTCTCATGTCATTATGTGCATATCTGTCAGTAGTTCTCTACCCGTAGACTGCCAATGTCTTGGCCTATAATTCCCAGAAGCCCTAGTTGACATAATCAATAGTCAAGGATTCTAGGAGTTGAAGTGCAAAAACATCTGGATAGCCAACAGCTGAAAACTTAATCTGCCAGGATGTTCTTGTTCTTATGTGCCACCAAGTTGCATCCAACTTATGGCAACACTAACGAATGAGTAATCTTCAGAATTTTCTGTCCTCAACTGCCCCACTCAGCTACTGTAAACTCAAGCCTGTGGCTTCCTTTATCTGACAGAGGTTAGTAATCTCTTCACACGCCCCCATGTATGTGCACTTTTCCTGATTCATATGAATATGTTCATTTATGCTGGTTCATTTACATGCCAGAATGCTTTTTCCATTGACAAAGGTACATTCTGGATACAATGGCCTGAATCCAGAACATGCCTGCCCTGGAGAAAAAGACATGTCAGTCAAAGGCAACAGAGGTATCCCCATGGAAAAATGATGATGTTATTTCTATTGACCCACCTACACAATACTTTCAGCCCCTTAAACCAACCCCCCTTCAAAAAAACCCAATACTTTCTGGAAAGGTTGTGGGGGGGGCAGGAGATGTTATTGGGTTGAGCAATAACAAATCATTTCCTGAATCATTCACTACAGTAGTAGGGGCACTGGAGGTGTTAATACTGATGTAGGAAGACTATAGATTCAATGTAATATCTCTAATGGTCTTCTGTCACACACCACAAGTCTATAGCAGAATGAAAACATATATTTACCTTAAGTGCTAGACTATGTATAACCGAGATTGGGTCTTCCTTCAAGAGACAGAAGGTAGTGTAAAGCCATGTATAATAAGTTACCTTGTCTAACAAGAAAGGTGCACTGTAGCATTCAATCATTTATCAGCCTGAGATGCATAATAGCAAGAGCCGAATCGCTAATTACAGAAAGTGAAAGTGCACCCACTTTTAAGTATAATTAATTACAGGATATGGAGAAAGAGAAGAAAAGGGGTTACAAATGGGTTGGTCTAATTTTACAGTGCAAAGTTCCCATTCTTCCACCTTCGAGCTGATAGAAGTTGTTCAAGAGGCACAAGTGGCCCCGGCTGCTTTCTTCCTTTTTGCATGATTAATTATTTAATACCCTATTAATTGAAAAATGCACTTGAATTTCAGAAGCATTCATTTCACTCTACATATCATTCTGTCTGGAAAGCACCAATTATGCAATTCATCAAAGGTGAATAGACAAGGTCATTTAGGCTATACCTCTTCAGTTATTCATTATCTTGTCCACAGTGCTAATTAACAATGGAAATATTTCCATCAAGAATGCATTCCTCATATCCCAGACTTCTGGTCACGCAGAACAGATTGTGCATTTTTGTTTGTTCACTTTGCTATTCACATGAGCCCTAAATACATCAGGGAGAAGGTAATGGTTTATACCTTTCTCTGTTCTTAAACAATCAGCTAAACCTATCCAATCAATCTTTCTGCGAGCACAGAAGCCCCTAAGGAACAGATTTACTATTGTACAGAAACATACACATTAATTCATATATTTTCACTGCTATGTCAAGATATTTTTTTTCTATGTTATTAATTGCCTCCTTGGATGAAAAATGGAATACTCTAGGGTTGAAAATAAAATATTATGGCAAATGTATACATTTTGAAGGATCAGCTGTACAGGTAGGGCAAACAGATACTTTTAAAGCAATATATTAGGTTTCTAATTTGTGCCCCCTCATACTTGCCTTATAAATAGCAACTCAGCAAATTTCTCTTGTTGGCTGAGTAATTTGTACAGGAAGGAGCAAAAGAAACATATTTCATGAAACAAAATAAATAGGATGGAATCAATCAAGTAAATAAGAAATATGTTCTTTTTAAACTAAATAAATGTGTCATGATTAATATACTTAAATACTTCCAATAATTATGTTTTCTTTACAAAACACACTTCTATTTGAATCTTTTGTGACAAATTTAACAGCACAATCCTGTTCAGGTCTAAATAGAAATTAAGCCCAGAGGCTGAAATCCAGCAGCACAACCTACTGATGACAGCCATCAGCTGTAACCGTTTTTTGGCAATTAAAAATTCCCGATCCCCTGTAAAGGTCCTGAGGCTCTCATGGGATCATATTGTGGGGAAACTGTTGGAGGGCCATTGAAGACTTCAATGTCCAAATACAGTATCACAGCTATCCTGTTCTGCTCACTAATATTCACTCATAAAAAACAAACAGGCATTCACTTTGTGTTTGGGTGAAAAGTGGTTAACTGATGAACAAAATAGTCAGTTTCTTGGATTTTCCCTTGTGTTGTATCACTTTGTGAATGGTAGTGCACACAAGAGTAGACCATCCTGACTGCTGCCATTGGTGGTGTCAACATTCAGGATGCCCTTTGCTATGCAAAGCTTGGCATCCTTTCTCCTTCTGACAACATGGGCATGATATTGTGCAGCAATATTGGGCCATTTCCTGGCTTTTCGAATCATGGATACAGAAGCACAGTATCTCACATTCATCAAACAGATGTGTTTTTTTGAGGAACTGAATCAACTTCAGAATGAAGAATCAACTCCCAGAATTCTCCAAGAACTCCACAGGTAAAATACCAGAAGAAACACCTACACATAAACACATTTCACTTACCTGGAACACCCTATCTTCCACACCATCACTTTCTCAAAATATCTTGGCTACCTTTTGCAGATCAAAAGAAGGATACATATTGTAATTATATATATATATATATACAATTATATAATTTTAACTGGAATTCTAGTACATTTGATACATTTATATTGGAGATACACAGATGGGCATGCATAATTAATATTATTGGTGATTCTTTCACCTAATTACGCTAATGTTTGCTACTATATCTTTGGCCACTCTTTCAAGTTACTGTTAAGTATAACAGTTCTCAATCAGGGGAGCAGGAGGATGCTGTAACCCACAAGAACAGTGTATTCAGCATTAGTATTCAGATTTACCATTATTGTCATAATCTCACCTGGAGGCATTTCAGGTGGCAGATAATGAGGTTCTTGAGCACTAACATGAACCCAGTCAAAGTCATCATAGGGATCTTGATGGTAATCACAGGGCCCCGGACCATCATCAAAGGTGCAACCCCCTAAAACAAAAATGAGAAAAAGAAATCAGTTCTATCTTCAAAATATAAATGGTATTATTCAATATGTGAACATGTATGGAGGGTGGAGGTTTAAGCTAAAAAGTTTACACGCCGGCCAGAGAGACTGGTGAAACGTTAGGAAGAAAAACCTTAAGGACACGGCCAAACAACCCGGAAAACCCACAACAACCATAAAAAGCTTACAATTTGATGTTTCTGCTGACACTTGCCATTTCATTTGCTGAACTGTGCATCAATAATGTATATTTTTCAGAAACAAAAAGATATTAAAAAGCTCATCAAGGGAAAAAAACTACACCCACCTTTCCCATCCACCCCCAGCCCTGCTGGTTTGCCAGCAGCTCCCTCTTGCACTTTCAGCCAGTTCTAACAAGAAAGCTCTCTCTTCCCTTCACTCTGACACTGCCTGTTCCAGTGGAAGCAAACACAGTTCCTTCAGCATTCAGCTGCTGGTTCCCATTTTTCCTCCCTGGAGCATTACTACATTGACATCAGTCCGCATTGCTACAACAATAAGCTGATGACAAGCAAAGCAGATACAAAGCACAGCCACTTCCACCAGCAGCAAAACCACTGCTCGGACCTAATCCCAGGCTCTCAGACCTAATCCCAGTCCTGATCTGGATTTGGGACTGTGTCTAGACACAGTAAAGGACATTCCTGGGATCTGCTAAGCCTGCTCAGCCCCCCCCCCCAATCTAGTCAGCCACTATGACTACACACTCTGGTTTAGACCAACCACACGACGAAAGCTGCCAAGAGCCTGTAGTTGGGCCAACAAAAGTTGCATCCACACAGCGCAAACTCTCCACTGAAGGTGGAGCAGGAACGAAGTGGAACTGTGGAGGAAATCAAACGTTAATAGGAGCCAAAAGGTGGATGCTAGAGAAACTAGAATAGAAAATGTCAGAGTGAGAGAAAGAGAGAGCTGTTATTAAATTTGACTGCCAGCACAAGAGGGAGCTGACAGCAAAATAATAAACAGCACAGCTCTTTTCTCCAGACTTAGCACTACAGACACAGAAAGCTAGGATATGGGCAGGGCAACTAGTGTCTTTCCTTTGTGTTTTAATTTTAACCTCTCAGGAGAATTCTTGGAACAAGCTATGGAGAGACACAACTGATTCTGGAACCCAAAATTTAATCCTGATATCACCAAATCTCCACATATTCTCCATTTTATTTTAACTTCACATCCAGCACCATCAACAGCTAGTGAGGATGATATTTGGTCCGTTCTACATCTCCTTCACCTTCAGTGCCCAGCATCCTGGAGAATGTGAACGTGCATATTTTCAAATTTTGTTTTGGTGGTCAATAAAGGCATTGCCCAGCCCTGGTTTGGAGCTTGCTTTTGGATTGTGCTTCTTGTAGCTTAGTGGCAAAGTTCAACGCCTGCCATTTCAAGTTAAAAGAAAGGAGATGATGAGAAGGGCCTCTGACACTCTTGAGATCTGTCACCAGCCAGCAATGAAGGACCAAGTGGAGAGATCTCTATAAGGTAGCTTCCTGTATTACTAAGTGTACAGTCCTCTCGCAAGGAAAACAGATGCCAGCAATGTTATAAACTTTGCAGCATCTGTTATCACAACCTACTCTTGGAAATCCTTCGGATTTGCTGTTCAGCTTTGAAAATGAAAGGCAAGATCAGAAAAGATAATCTGTGATAATCCTAAAGAAAATGGCTGGCTGTGAGCACGCATTACGATCATCAATATCAAGAGTCATCTGGAAGCCAGAGGTACACAAAAATTCTCCAACTTTAGGTTGAAAGTGCTCTTCATTTGGAAAATGTTGCCAAAGGTAAAATCAATAGTATGCAGTAGGTTATTATCATAAAATTATTCTATATTAATTTTATAGCACACACACACAAACAAACATACATTTAACTTCTTAGCGGCTGTGTGACATTAGTTATAATCATGGCAAAGTCATATTTGCTTTATTCACTTCACATTTATGCGACAGTGCAAATGCTTGTGTCTAGGTGCTCTTAAGAACTTTTAAGTACTGAGCAACCAGGTATTTCAGCTGCTACTCTAGTGACTGACTGAACATTGCCAGCCTTCTTACTGAGCGCTTTTCACACAAAAGTGCCGGTAAGCAGCTACAGGCTTCTTGTGTAAGAAAGCAGCATGTTATAGTAAATTATGTCAGCAACAGTCATCCAGTGACGAGTAATTGGAACTGTCATAATTTCCAAGGTTACAGGCACATACTCTGTAAGGTTTTTATATTTTTTTTTCAAATTTGGCAATCACAGGGTTTGCTGGTATATACAATGACCCTTGAAGGACTGCTAAAGGACATGGCAACATTTTAAACAATACAGTTACAGAAGACAGGGATCCATACTGGGCAAAATTTCATACAGTCCAGTTTTTGTGTAGTTCTTAGTTTCATTTGTTCCAATACAGAGCTACACTGCTACTTCACCAAAGGATGGATATTAAACAAAAAACAAATCCATCATTACGTTAGACTGCACAGGGAAGCCATTGAAATCCACAAACACCAGCAGAACTGTAACAAAAAGAAGTTTGAAACTCAACAAAACTTGGCTCCCAGCTCTGAGACATACAGTGTCTCAGAGCTCTACCCAGCCACAAGGACCAGTGATCACTACACACAAAAGACCAGCTAACGACACCCATCAATCACAGTCACAAATAATCTCTCCTCTTTATCACAACAATACACCCATAACAAAAACACACTGATCACCATAATTACCCATCTCCTGCAAAGGACAAAAGCTGATCTCACAGCCATAAATACTCAACTGAAACAAATTGCACCAGAGCACAGAGTCCTGTCCTCTGAAGATGCCGGCCACAGAGACGAAATGTAATGTTAGGAAAAACAACCTTCAGAACACGGCCAAAGAACCCGAAAAACCCACAAGAACCATTGACTTTCCTTCTCTATATGGTTATTCATTGCTTTTGTTGGAACAACACAATGGAAGTCAGAACAGAGATGGTCCACACTTGCTTTCTTAAGATTAAGAAATTAGCATGCCACAAAAACTGGCTTTCAGAATGTACAGGAAATTCTTCCACAACCCAGTCTTTCTCTACTACACAGCCATAACACCAGAAACTATGGTGGTCATTTTATTGCATTAGATTTTAACCAACTTTTAAAGATACAGTGTTTATATTTCATTTCATTTCATTTACTGTTGAACACTATACAGCTCAAGTCTTTAAAATAACTTTCAAGGGTCAACACCACAGGAGATGTTCAGGGAAAGCCTTAGCTCACTTGCAGAGACCAGGTGAAAGTCCCAGGTTCAATCCCTGGCATCTTGTTAAAATAGATCAAATAATAAGTGAAGGAAAAGAGTTCAGCCTGAGACCCAGTTAAAGACTACACTTAATGAAATACTGTATCCTACATCACAGTGCACAGAATGAATTAGTGCAGCACTGGCATCCATTAGTTACTGTATTTCACTGAAGCATAAGCAGGAGCCACTGCAATGTCCACCCATGTGGTAGTGCCCCTTTACAAAATGGCACAGCAAAGCAGAACTGAAAATAACATTATTGCATACAATAAAGCAAGTACAATGATTGATTACTGTAATGAAAAATCCCTGATTACCTGCATCATCTGTTTCCGAACTTGTCACACTGCACCCACACAAAACAGTTACACCACTTACTGTAACCACAAGGATGGTTGTTTAGGGCTTGCATTAAACATTAGCGTTTATAAAAAGTTCAGACAATGGAGCAGGACCTCAATGAGTTTCACAATACCAAGGATTAGCCCTATGGGCAAATTATTGCCCCAACTGTGCAAACACTAAATATGAACCTTGAAGACTAAGTACAATATGCCCTAAACATCAATACAGTCAGTCTACTTATATGCTTAAAATTCTGGGAAGAATTAGACTGTAAGAATCTAATAATAAGCACCATGCGGCATCAAGTTGACTCTGATTTACGGCAATCCTTTCCCAGGTTTTCCAGGTAGAGAATACTCAGAAGTTGTTTACCCTTCCCTTCTTCTGGAGGCACCGGGGTGGGGTGGGGACTGTGAAGCTTGCTTCTGGTTACACAGGCTGGGTCTACTTGCAGAAGGTACCAGGGGGAATCAAAATGCCAACCTTTGCCTCCATTGAATTTATTACTTAAGAAAAGACTAGAGAAAAGTCAAAACAATTGCAAGTGATTAGCACAAAAAGCAAACTTTAATCTCTTGACAATGCTGCCTTTCAAAAGCATATAAAATAAGGTCTGTTTCCACCTAAGTGAAATGTCTAACATATTATTCATTTTTTAAAAATCCCTGTAAACTGTCAAATAAAAACAAACAGCAGAGTCTTCCACTAAGCTGATTGCTATGTCAGAACAACTGTCAAGGGTGGCAGATTGCAAAATGGAAATGGGGAGGAGGGAAGCCTTTAAAAGTTACACTATTCTCACCAAGAGACCTTTTCAATCAGCCTCCCTCAGGAAAAAAAACCTCAACCTTTAAACCTTATCCTCTTTGAGATTATAATAACCCTTATGGCCATTTTATAGCAAAACTTTCCATTTGTATAGATACTTAAACAGATAAATGAACAGTACTATTCCTTTAAGCTGTGTTATCACTGTCTGCTGTCACAATACTAGAGTGACAGACTGTTTTAACACGCATGCCTTACAGGCAGCCATTACCCTCTTTAATGACCTAACTGGCCTCAAGTATACAAATGAAAAGTACCAATGGATCTCCCAAGGACACATCAGGAAGATGACTGCTCCTAATTTGTAGCTTTGGAAGAGGTAGCCTTGTTAGTCTGTGCAAGCATATCAGACAAAATCCAAAGAAACAATACAAGACAAAAACATGTGGCATCTTAAAGATTATTATATTTGAATGTGAGCTTTCATGGTCCTGTCCACTTTGTCTTGTTTAATTTTGTTTCTTTGGATTTTGCCTGATATGCTCCCAATATGTGATCTTTCACAGCCCCA